TGTTAGTAAAATTAAAAACTTTTATATATAAGAAAAATCACATATTTTACTAATTATAATTAGTAAAAAATTTAAGCATTGCATTCTTTTTTAATTATTACTATATATATATACTAATAATATGATTAAAAAAATTTTAAAAAAAATTATTTATTATTAATTTTTATATTATTTAACTATCTAATATATTTTGAATTTTAAATATATTTTTATTAATTATTATTATTATTCTTGTTTTTGAAAAAATAAATGAAAATATAAAAATTTATTAAATAATTTTAGAGAATAAAGAATATTATATATTTATTAAATTATAATACTAATTATATGTATTTAAATAATAATTTATTAAATTTTCAAATATATAAATAATTTAATATCTTATTATTGATATTTTTATAAAGTTATAAAATATTTTCATAAAGTTTAAATAATTATTAAGCTTTATATTTCAAAATAAAGATGAATAATCTATTTATCTAATAAAAAAAAATTTTATATATATCTAGTATAAAATGTCTGAATACTTATAACTGGTATTATAAGTCTAAATTAATGAAAGAGTTCTAAGTTTTTAATTTGATTTGAACTATTTAGAGTTGATGAAGAATTGATTTCATTTCATTATCTATAAATTTATTATAAATACTAATTCTAGTATGATTAAAAAAATTTAGTCTTTGAGATGATGTCATTATTCCTGACATTATTCTATACGTTTTCATCTCACTATAGCTATTTTAAGGGATTTCGCTTTAAATTTTGCTTTGTAAAAAAACATAATGATCAAGTAGAATTGAAAAATCCACTTTGATCATAATGATGATTTCTAACTATACATTAATCAAAGCCAGCCTTGATTTTTTGCTCTAATAATAAGTTTTATATACTGCATATTAAAAAAATAATTCTAAATGTCTAGATAGTGTTTATTGATAATATGTCTAAATATATATATATATATATATATATGAAAGAAGTGAAAGCAAAAGTAACATATATAAAAATTAAAAAGGTAGACATTTTTGAGTGCTATGACCATAAAAGGAACAAAGATGTAGTAGATCATTCACTCGCCATTTGAAAATAAAGTTGTTTGTTTTACGCAGTTAATCTGGAAGATAGATTGATAAATTTGTCTTTGGGCAGTTGATACCTACCTGATTTTTTTACAATGTTAATGATGCGGATATCTTCTTTCACCGATATACCTTTTGTTTTGTTGCGCTTTACATTACGGAAAAAGAGTTCTTCTAATCGCTGTTTTTATGATTAAGATTGAAAAATTTTAGTGCATTGTTTGAGTTTATTAGAATTGTAAATTAAGATAGAAATAATGTACCTGTTGTTTATCTGATGATTTAAATTGATCAAATTTAGCTTTTACTTGTTTTTCCGCCGAGGCTTCAACTACAAAAAATATTCGAATAGACATTTAAATCCCAAATAAAACTTAATCTGAAGCAGTATTTAGATTGAAATACCAACCTTCAGAGAGATCATGATCCGCTCCAGATCCACTAAAGATACTTTTAATCATGCTCAAGGCTTTCAATCGATTGAAATAAATCTCAAATCCAATATCAGGTGTGTTAATGACATTAAACAACTCTTGTTCTGGTAAATTACATAACCAATCGTGATCAACCCACTTGTGTGGTGGTTCATCACAATAAATCAAATCGGCACGCGTTTTCGGGGTGTATTTTCCACGAAGTTCTTCAAATTCCTCGTCTGTATGATGTGGAAAAAAGTGTTGCAATACGATTTTATGGTCAAGATATTTTGAAATTGTCCACGTATACGTTGTATTATTATTATTATTATTATTAGTAGTAGTACGGGCAGTAGAAGTGGACTTTGTCGTCGACAACTTTGATGATGTCGTCGATGATATAGTTGCTTTTTTTATTGGTGTCGTTGGTCGGGAATTTTTTTTCGGTGGTGTTGTTGTTGGAGTCTTTTTCATAGATGGTTGACGACGTATTGCTGCTGTCGTTACTTTTGTAGCCATCATTGTCCCCTTTCTTTTTTTTTGTTATTATAATTGTAAATTTTTTTCTTTTTATTTGTATTATGTTTGTTTGTCTTTTTGTTTGTTTGTTTGTTGTTTGTTATATCTACTACTTTTTCTATGTATTGATTTTTTTTCCTTGTTAAAAAACTTTAAATTGTATTTCTAAATTTTTTATATTACAAGGGAAATATTGATTGAAAAAAAAAGGCGGTATTTTTATGATTCTTTATGGCAAAGTAATCCTTATATATTTTGATACCCGACTGAACTGAATTGTACAACAATGTTGTCGTTGCTATTATCGTTATATATTTATTATGCGTGCGTATATTGTTGTTTACGTACACGTATATATATATGAATTAAAATAGCCAATGAAACGCAGTTATAAGTATTTGACTCGGTGATTGATTGAATTTATGTTACATGTATTTTTATCTTCTTAACTAGTACATGTACATTAAATAGGGAGGATTCACTTTTCGTGCGAAGGCTGTGTTTATATTTGTATTGGTCTGTACATCATCCAATCGTTCCAAAGAACTGATAATAACAAAGATTCGTACATAACCTTCATTTGATGCATGTGCGCATGCATGCGTGTGCGCCTATACGTTTGATTAAGACAAAGTATGAATTGATTATTAATTTTTTTTTTCGGATAAAAGACATTGGGATATAAAGAATGGGGATGGCAATGGGAAGTACGTATCTAGGTTTTCTATCAATTATGGCGATACATGTGCATGTGAGATCGATTCAACTTCTTTGAATATTACAATTATTACAGTAGCTCTATTTGCATTTTCCATTTTTTCATATATCAAGTGGTGCTATTTTAAATATTTAAGTTTCGAAACCTTAATTATCTATTGTACTTAAAATATCACATGGACTGATCTGAAAACTTGTAATTTAAGAAAAACCTGAAAATCCAAGTTTCCAATAATACATTGCGGAAATAATTGTTTGAAAATCATGAGCTAAAAAATATCAATCGGGAATCATATTACCAAATAAATTAACAAATAAATTAATTTATTCTTCCTCTCCCCACACGAAAAAAATGAGCATAACAGTAACGTTATCGGACATCGATGTAGCATTTACAGCAGCAGAAGCCAAAGCATCAGCTATTTGATGAACGTCGTATCCGAGATCAAGGCCCTCTGACACTGCGTCAACAACCGTCTGCTCGTCATAAACATTCCAGAGTCCTATCATTTGTTTGTATAATCAAAATTAGTAAATAACATACCGTAATAAAATGTTAATCATATTAAACACTAACCGTCTGATGCCATAATTAGAAATTCATCTTGAAATGGGATCAGGTCGACTGCACACACGTGCGGAATAGGAGAAAGCCAATCTTTCCCAGTTTCAGTTTGAGGTGCTTTAAATTCAAAGTCCCCAAGAGCTAATTATAATTTCAATCGATGATATTAATTAAACCTTTCGCCGTGATATTCGCATTAAAAAATGCCCTTGACCTACCTCGTGTCATATTAACTGAAACACCAGCTCTTATAACACGACCTTTTCTCACTTGAGCTCGAGCATCTTTGAGTCTAATATTGTATCCATAGATAAGTCATCGTAAAGCATAATATTTAAGGAAAAATATATACATGTAAAATTTGTACCGAATTCTTTCATCTACTTTATCAAGTTTATCATCATAAGTAAGATGAATCGCCGTGGATTTCGAACCAATTTTTGATCCCAATACTGCAGTGCTATCGCCAACATTAGCAATGTAAAACTGATTCTTCTGCTTAAAGAATAAGGCCACTTTAAAAAAAAATAAGAATTAAGGATTTACTCCCTAAATTAAGTCAAAATTCAGAGTTATTTGTCATTTACCTGTAGCTGTAGTGCCACCCCTATGACTGCCGTACAGGTCGTGCAATACCTTGTCTTCTTTTTTGAATCCATTGACAATGGCTTCTTGATAATTAACTTTTAAGAAACTCGGATCATTTAAAATGTAGTCGGCTAAATGCTTTTTAGCATGCTATAAAATAATTAAATGATTTTGCAAATCAAATAAAGAAAAGAATAAACGTTAAGCGAAGCGAATGAAAAGAAAATTTACCTTAGAGTAATGTCCATTCCCATGACCATCATAAAGCAAGAACAACGAGTAACCACGATCATGAAAGAAGTTATGGTTAATATCAAATCTATCCATTTGCGAGTCACGATCACCTAGCAATCGCGCGACACCCACGTCAAAATCAACCAGAGACATCTTCGAGGTAGCTGATAACTGTTTTCTTCGTTCTTTATTGTCGCTTTCAGTCGGGGAACTTTGAAAAAAAGAAAGTGACCACGAAAAAAAACTCGAAAATGAAAAGTTTGAAGGTACCAAACGCCGATTCATTAGACGTATTGTTTGTTGGGTTGTGAATGTTTTATAATTTTAGTAAAGAAATTCCGGTGAATTGTGATTTAGTTGATTTTTTGTAATTTGTAAAGCTTAAACATTTAAAATCAATCATAATATCGAGTCTATTATATAGAATTATTACATAACGACAATATTCCCATACTTTGTGAGTAATTAGCACGTATTTCACTTTTTTTTTGATTACTATTACAAAAAGAAATCCAATTAAGGAATGGCATATTATTAATTGTCGTCACTTGTTTTGATTAATGACCACTCACACTAACGCTAACTGTAGCAAGTAAATCTTTCATAAAAAAAGTCTCAAGCATTTTGAATCTACTCGTATCAGAACAAAAATTTAATAAGAACATCGTCGTCTTTGTTCTTCTATACGAAATCAAAAGGAAATCGATAAACATGTCAAAAGGTCAGAAATTATCCTATTTCCTTTGAAGGTTTTGTGATCGAATGAAAAAACTGTACGGCTTTCTAACTTTTTTTAAACGAGAACATAAATTCGCAAGTTACGTTACATCGAATAATTTTTACAGGGATTGCAAAATCATAAGGCTAATATAGTCTAGGGTATACTGTTGAAATCCAATCCATAATAAGGGATGAGATGAGGCCCAGAAATTTAATTTTGCAATTGCTGTTATTAAATACTATGTTATACATCAAAATTATTTATGAACTAATCCTTAAAATTTCTGGAATTACGAATCTATAATCGAGAAAGCATATATTTTACTTTCGAGAAACCTAAGTGGTTAAACAATATTATGATGTAACAAAGCACATAATCCAATTTTTATATGTTATCCCTTTTCTCTTGAATTAGACGGAGCAGGAAAGATCAAGGTCTTTATATATGTGCAAGGAAAAATGATTGAGTCAGCAGTCATTGATATCTCATATATATCATCCCCATCCTTTATTATTTAAACTTTACGATGATTCTGATGATGCATATTTGCTATTCTATAGTGGAATAATTTTATATGGAAAAAGATATAATAAAGCGATTTATGTTTTGTGCGCGTGTGATTGATTATAAGGGTCAAGGTCAACTATTTATTTAACTCGTTTGCTTTCGTTCTAAAGTTGTTATTTCTCTTTTTTTAACTTGTTCATAAAAAATTGTTCTTTCCTCAATAAGTACCCTTTAACTTTGACCCCTTTTTCTTGTTCACTGTTCCTCAAAGTAAATTGTGAGAAAACTAAAACAGCTTCATATAACCTTCAAAGCTAATTTAGTTATACGCTTGCATACAGAAATGCCACCTCGTCTCAGAAGTTTCAGAAAAGAAGCACAAAAGGCGAAAGAAGAAGCTCGTAAACATGAAGAAAGGCCAAAGAAAAAAGTACGACAAACAAAGAACAATGAAACTGCACCTGTCATCAGAGAACCAGAAGAAACAAAAGTAGAGATAAAGGATCCAGAAAGGGAAATCACTTCGATCTCATTCTCTACAAAAGATGTGAATTTCACACAAGTTGCCCCCGAGATTTTCATAAATATTTGTAAATTTCTTCCTCCCATCGATCTGCTTTCATTAGCACAAGTCTGTCGACTTTTCAATGAATATTTGTCGTCTAAAGAATCAGAATCTACTGAATTGATCTGGCGTAAAGCTAGACTCACCTTTCTGTCGACTTTTGATATTGGTCCACCTGATGGCATGAGCGAGCGTGATTACATTCGGTTGATTGTGGAAAAAGGATGTCAACTCTGCGGCAACAAATCTGGTGCGTCAATTCATTGGGAGTTCTTAGTTCGCGTCTGCAACCAATGTTTCAAAGCAAATATTGCAAGGTCTGTTCATTTATATCTCTAGGTTTCTATAATGTCATATAGTTTATTATTAATTTACAGTATATGTTAATTTCTTTTAGTTTTAATAGTATTATGGCAAATTATCAAATACCACTTTATTTTTATCCCGCACTTCCTTGTTATTCAAGAGCCGATAGTGGATACTTTTGGCTTCCTCATGTCAAAAAATTCCGAGACGAATACAACGCGGCGAATTCCGAAGAAAAACTTAAAATGTTGCAAGACTGCACCCAAAAGTCACACCGTATCATGCTAGACAAAAGAGCACGCGAAACTTCAAAATCACGCGAACGAACTGCTCGTATACAGGAAAGTGCCAAAAAGAGAAAGTCTAGACAAGATAGAATTCATCAGTTGGTAGACGAAATGTCCAAGGAGACTTACGAAGATGGCACTCCTAAATTTGATCAACATTTACTCAAAAGTAATAATGTCGCGTATTGCAAGGCCATTAATTCAACTTCAACATCTCTTACAGATCGTGCTTGGAGAACTTGGAGGAAAAAGATTGAGAAAGAATATTATAGCAAGGTTCCTTCTATAATGGACCAATAAATAAATTCAAACTTAATAAGGGGATTAATTGGGTCGAATCGATGAATACCTTAACATTGTCAATTAATTCAATGAACAGTTGATCTCAGCATATATGTATTTAGTTATTTGTATTTGCCAGAATTTGCAGAAAAATGCTTTCTTGCATACGAATTTTATTTTATAAGAATAATATTATAAACCTACAAGACAAATTTTTTGCATTGTCTTAGCATTACTTTCTAAAATAGGCATAAATACTAGATAGCGACAGTAAATCATGGATTTTTTATATCAATCTTCTGATTCTTATTCTATTTCCGAGGTTAACGTCGAAATAATTTTATTCGTATTTTGGCATCGCATGTGTGCGTTACTTTTCTGTAATTGGACAAAATTTTAACATGTACCTGCGTTACGATGATAAAGATTAATTTAATTCGAGATTTGTAATTTATTTAAACAAAATCTAAATTATATATTTCACTTCGGATGCAAAGTATACATTTTAATCATGCATCTTTGGCTATACATAAAAGAATTTATATGTAAATACAATATTATTCTCTTTTCTGCTCGATACATTAAAGTGACGAAAGAAATTTTATTAACCTTTTGCGGAACAGTAGGCTTGATTCTTGCGTATTCTTTCCCGAGTTCATCTACAAGCTGATCATTTAAGTATCTCTTCAATCTCGGGAGGATTTCTTCTTCTTCCTCTTTTACATGCTTCTCAAATTCCTTGTGAAAAATAAAGATATCTAAATGATTTAAATCACACAATTAATAAACCTATGACGCCACAAACCTTCATAGTAAGATCCATCATCTCAGCATATTCAGGATCGGTGACTCTTGAAGCATCTAATTTAACTAACATCTTTCGAATAAATTCATGATCCTTTAAAGAATCTTGCGCATATTTTTTCCCGTCTGGCATGTATTTCTCGTAGGCACGGTAAACAACTATTTCCTCGGTGTATGTGTGGATTGTTGCTAATGGGGATTATCAGAATTATTTTCTTATTTAATATGAGTCTGACTTATAAGAATCTTTGTCAACCTTCACGGATTATGCCATCAGCAAATTTTTCACGATTTTTTGGGTCAGTTTCGCCTTGGAATAGTCGATAAAGACCTTTAATGCAATTGTGATCTTTGAGTATTTGCGTAAATACGTCGGTTGCCATTTTGAGTTATAATAAAGAATTTTTTTGTTTCAAGTCTTTTTATAATTGAACAAAGTCGATAATTTTTCATTGTATCATTTGACATTGATACATTAAATCATGTATGCTTTTAATCAACCTTTATCTCGATAAATGACGTTATCTTTTCTTTTGTATTTGAACAGTCATTTATTTGGATTATGGACAAGCTCTTTATGGAAAAAAACCCATATTAATTTTATGCAAAAAATTTTTAGAGTTGATTTACAGAGAAAAATGATACGCCGCCTCTTGAAATTTAAATAATGCAAACTTTGGATGGAAAGAAGGAATTCTATCAACGGTGATATAATAATCATTTTTATGCGTGGCTCACAGAAGAAATGCAACACGAAAAGTTTTACGAAAAAAAATTCTAGTGACTCTAACATCGATTCAGAATACCTGGTTCCTATACTCATTTCAAAGCTAATAACCTAGAGAATATTTTTAAAGATCCTAAAACTATATTAATGCTGTAATTCGAAAGAAATTGAGTGGTCTACATAAATATATTTAATTTTAATTCTAAATAGTTTTGTTATCAGGGAGGAATGATGCGGATTGATCTAATAAAAAATGTGCTTCTTAGGGAGAACTATCTACGTACCAATTTTCAACTAAATTGGTACCAAATTCGTCTAGTTATTTGATCCCCGAAGTACCAGATGAGTGCTAGCAGAAAAAAATCGTTGGATTATTTTACTAGCATTCATCTGGTACTTCGGGATCAAATAACTCAACGAATTTGGTACCAATTGAGCTGAAAATTGGTACGTAGATAGTTCTCCCTAAGAAGTACATTTTTTATTAGGTCAATCCGCAACAATCCTCCCTGATAACAAATTATTTAGAGTTAAAATTTCATTAATTAAAAATATTCATATAGATCACTCAATTTCTTTAGAATGGCAGCATTAATATAGTTTTTAGGATTTTTAAAAATATTCTCTAGGTTATTAGCTTTAAACGAGTATAGAACCAGGGTATTCTGAATCGATGCTAGAGCCACTAGAAATTTTTTTTTCGTAAAACTTTTCGTGTTGAATTTCTTTTGTGAGCCACTGTATATCCATCTTATCGTATCGAATCTTTCGGATAATTTTTCAAGCGTAACTACCAATTTTTCGTGTACTACCATTTTCGTGCATTTTATTTCCAGACACGATAAATCGACGCCCGATTGTTTGGATTTGAGCCAAAAATACTGACATCAGTTTTGCCTCAATAAGACGAACTTGAATCGTGATATTTTGGCCCTAAGCCAACAATCGTACGCGCCCCCGAAAGAAAAAATGGACATGGTACAAGAAAATTGGTAGGCTTACCTTGTTAGACATTGTTTCACTCGGAGAAAAAAAATGATGTAATGATAACATCAAAGTTTTGGTTTGCGAATCTATATAAAGATAGAGTTGCGGTTCCCTGTAATGATGTAGCGTAGATAGTTGAAGTATGTTCGCTGCAAATCCTGTAAAAAAAATAAAGTTATCAAGAACAATTATTGTGACACCATATAATAAGAAATCAATACCTGTGAATTAGCATTGAATTTCTCTGTAGCGTACATATAACGAGTTATCAGGGTGACTACGATTCAAATCTCTGCGTAACAAACAAAAGGGAAAATAATGCCTACTCGGAATGACGACAGTTTTGTTTACATGAATAAAAACACAAAAACTTATGACATCATTAAAAGACACATGGAATTAGAGCAAGCAAATTTTGAAGCAGCCAAGAACATCATCACCGCAACGTAGAGCACTGCTTAAGTAATCGAGATCTTCATTCCACGCAGAAAGCTAACTAGGAAATCTTGTAAACGGGTACTTCTTAAAAAGGACAGTGGGTGATTGGCTTCTTCTCTGACAAAGAGGTAAAAGAAAGAAGTTAGGATTCAGAACATTTTATAATCACCGCATTTTGATCGATAGATCATTGGACCATCTTTATCTGCTGTATCGTCATTGAAATGACTTTATAAAGAATTCATACCGTTTCTTAATTTAGCATTGATTTACATTGTTATGCTTAATGTAACCACATGTACAGGCAAAATCGAGTAAGTTGATCGATCTTTTTTAATTTCCGGGTTGTACTGTAAATTTTTGAATCGACTGCTCATCTAATTATTTTAATATTGTTTTGAGTATAGTTGTCCGAGCGTAAGCGAAGGAATTTCCGATTGTCACGCCATGTGACTGGTTGGTTATAAATAAATAAGCCAATTAAAAAATTTATCGCTCCGGTTCACCATTTTCCTAGTAAATATACTAGTTATATGATAAAGATTTTCATTTATGAAAAAAATTTTGTGTGTATGATGTCCTCACGGACGGAAAATTATTTGAACCTGGGAAACTTCTATGCATGAGTTGTGTCATAAAGATTCTGTAATGATAAGTAATGGCTTAGTGTATAAAGTGATAAGGAATTGCTTTTTTTGTTCATTTAACATTGTAGTTATACCCGCCTCGCAGATGCATTTTTAATAAACAAAACAAATAGAAAACAGTGCGATTAGTAGTCTATGAAAGATAAGTTCTCTTATTTATAAGTGTTTTTCTTTTTTAGTTGTTAACTCTGCTGTGTTTTTAGTTATCTAGGAAAACGAGATAGTGGATACCATTAATTTTTGTTATTAATATTATTTTTCTCTCGCAAAACGCGACAGAAGTGGTGTCGAACGTGTTTTAGAGACAATTTGTCATGTTTTATTAAGGATAACGTTCTTAAATCAGTTTATTTCTTTTATAAAAATAGTTAACCACGCATCAGATAGTTTCTTTGAAGAGTAATGAAAAAAATGGTGCTTAATAGACGTAATGATTAATATGCTTTATTTGATATTTTAGTCTGATATCTTATTGATTAATTTGAGAGATGAATATAATATAGTATCTCTCTCCCTCCCTCTCACGTCAGAATAGGTTTCAGTTTTAGAAGTTTCAATGTTGTCAAGAAAATAAAAGAAAACTGACTTATCAGTTTTCCTTCTGAAACTAACGATAAGAAATTAATGAATAAGTACTGTATTTTGTCACATGGTGCTCCTTTTTTTTTTTAATAAAACAAATTAATTTTCTATCAAATGGAAAAATCAAGATTTACTGCTCAATTTTTTCAAATTTATTATTAAACTAATATCTTTGAGGTTAAATTAAGTTTATTTTTTTTTACCCGGGTGGGTAGGGTGCTGTATACGGCAAAATGCGGTACACGTACTTATTGTTTACTTGTTTAATACATGTAGCATAATTAAAGATGGAAGTGCAGCCAGGTGTTGCTTATTCGTCACACGTTGCAACTCAAAATTATATAAGCTACGACTAGTTGCAACAGCTGAAACACCATCTTTAAACATAATATAAGGCTCATCGGGCAAAAACTTTCTTGTGTTACAATTGTTAATCTACACACTAGTATAATACAATAATTGTCGATAAGTTATTAATTATTGATGATAGTATATTATGATGTAACTAAATTATCATAGAAGAACTGTTGTGTGAGACGTAAAAGCATATATATGGTATGCTAGTTTTTCAATTCTTGAATTATTGGCTGAAATTGGCCTCTTTCTAAATAATGAATGCATCTTTGTCATAGCGATTACGATAAATAAATAAAAAGGATTAAATACTGTACATTACTCTAATTAAAGTTTATATAGAAATTCCTTTCTATATAAAGCTATGCCATTTTTGTCTACGTTTATATAAATCGAGGGTGTTGCCTACAAATTTTCTCTATTTATAACAGCTACGTATATTATTGGCACGTATTAGTCTTGCAGCTATCATTACGACGTTTAAGAAAATATGATTAAAAATTCACAGGACACACACGATATTAATTTTCCATATTCAGTAAAGAAACCACCATTCCCCCCTCAATTGACAGTTGAGGAATTAATGACAAATGCGCTCGAAAAATTACGTAAAAATAAAATTTCTAAAACGCCAAATGCTTTCTTAGCATATAGGATGGCTTTTCAAAAACAGTTTTATAACACGAAAAGTCATCCAACAATGCGAGATCTCTCGCTTATGGCCACAAAATTCTGGCTTCAAGAACCTGAGTATATAAAAGCAAGATACTATCAATTAATGAAAGAAGCAAAAACTCAATTTGAAAAAATTTGCAATCAAAATTTTCCCTTACAATTCGTAGAATATCGTCCTTGCATTGATTTATCTTCTTCTCAACCAGTCTGCCAACAGCAACAGCAACAACAACAACAACAACAACAACAACAACAACAACAACAACAACAACAACAACAACAACAACAACAACAACAACAAGAAGAAGAAGAAGAAGAAGAAGAAGACAAATTTTCAAATCATTATAATTACAATAATGAATTTTCATTTGACCGAGATCCAACGATAATAAATCAAGATGAAGTCGAAAGACAAAATCTCTTTTCACGTGTACCTCAGTTGAGAACATCAACATATAATCCCAATCAAAATTTTTGGTCATCCGAATTATCAACAACTACAAAAATAAATATGATTAATCCTATTTCTCCTATTATTGATTCTCAGCAACAGAAAACGGTCGAACAAGGATCACCAATTGTCTCGCAGCAACTTAATTCGATTGTTCAGTTGGAAGATATCGAAAAAAATAACAATTCACTTAATTCTGATCAAAATCCAAGTGTTGACATAGAGGTGTTGACAAAAAGGGCAGCGGAACTTGAGGATCAAGTCAAAAATTTGCTCGCGGAATTGCAATATCAATTCAATAATTATTTAACCCTACGAATGAATAATCAAACGCAACCAGATAATAATAATAATAATAATAATAATAATAATAATAATAATAACTGTTTCTCAAACCCATGATAGAATATTACTTGTCTTGTAAATATGAATCTTATGAATTGAATCTTTTCCCTTTACTATTTTACTCTCTTTACTCTCAAAAGTATATATATCGTTTCATATAAATGAACGTGATACATGTGTATAATAACAACATAATCAAGTATTAAGGTGCCTATAACTTCATTTCCCTAAAAGGTTTTTAGAATGCATAGAAAAATATATATAAAATTTTCATTCTTTATTTTGACAAAATAGGTAGTTCCTTCGTTAATCATAGGTACATACACTCATTAATAACAGGACATAACCATGAACATTGATCACGCGAGTTCCAAATTCTTTCAATAAAAGCTTCGAGAGAATAATAAACTATTGTCATAAATGTTTATTCTCATAGAGGATATAGAGTTCATTTACCCACTATCATCCGCATATACAGGTGATAGTCGAAATTAAAATGTAAACTTCTTGCTTTTTTCAATTAATTAATGCATAATCGCTCTTTGTCAAAGATATCATGCAGCTTGCTAAAAGCTAATTAGCGCACAGAATTCCTATTATGTATTTCTTTTGTCAGTAATACTTTCGTAAGCAAGTTTCTTTTATACACGCGTGATTTATTGGAATCGTAAGATTATATTGTTAATTTAATATCAAAATATAAGTCTAATATTACGTGCTTATAAATAATAATCATATTTGATTTTATTTACTAGAATTAATTCACTTACAAGAAAATATAGGTACATGTATAAATTTTTAATTATGATGATAAAATACATGTATTTACGTATGTACAATTCCTCACAAATTCAATATTTGTGCTTATTTGAAATTTTTTGGTTGGTCCATCATACATGTATTACATACTAAGATTACCTTTCCTTTTTATACTTATTTGGAAAGCCATCTCTTGTTGTCAGCTTATTTAATAAATTCATGTATTGTATTTTATAACGATAATCATAAGTGAGTCTGTGAATGGAATACAACTTCGTTTTCGATAAATGTAAGAAATGATCTGCAATAATAAGACATATATCTGTCGCTTTCAAAAAACTAAAATCGAACTCGGACAATTTGACTATTATAAATCTGAATGAATTGAGTCGATCAAATATAGCTAAGAATAGTTAACTATAATCAACCAACTTGCATAGCTTTGTTATTTAGCTAAGGCGTTATCAAGCAATGCCCGGAGGAAATCCCCTTGGCGCCATTTAAGTCCCTATCAAACCGAAGCCAACATTCATCGCACCTAAATTCTTTATTTCCACCCAAATTCCTCTTAATATACCCACAATGACTGCACGTTTTACTCGTATATGCTTCTGACATGGACGTTAGTTATAACAACTTTGTTAAATTCCTCCATCTTAAATCTCGATCGTTCCTAAAATTAGCATGCGTCCAACTCATCATCCTTCAAGCTGTCCTATTGCTAACTCTTCTTCTTTGTCAACGTCATGACATCTGTGCACTATCAAAAGTTGACAGTACTATTATATCAAAAGTAGGCAACCATAATATGCGCTTCATCCACAAGATTTCAAATGCATTTTCTTAAGCAAGCTTGGACCCGTTTTATAGAGTTTCACTTCTTTGCTGATGCTTTAGTGATGCATGATTTAAAAGCATCTAGAGATAGACAGAAATTCACAATATATTTAATACTATTGTCGTCAATATTACCATAGCTAACTATGGATGAATGCCATGTGAGGAAGGTTCAGATACCAAAATCAATATCTGCAACATGGATCTCTTTCACTTGGTTTTCACGGATGGATTTTTCATATATTCATATAAATGTCCAGCATTCTAATTTTTTCTCATACGTAAGCTTTGAATCCTTTATGATATCTCCAGTATCATTTGACCAACTGTGATTGGATCTTTGTTATTCATGATGATGTAATAGCTTAGCCAAGCCTTTGTAACTGGATGGTCGAGATTAACAGCAAGAAACGTCTTGTTATATAATAATCTGAAGTAAAAACAAAGTAATTCATGATAGTATTGAGTGTGAATAGGGATTATTTATCTATTATCCTTTTGAAAAAAATATGTGATGAAGATGTTAACTTTCTCTTCTCTAGTTTCTTGCAATGATCTTATCTCTCATTTATATAATGCTTAAGATGTAATTAAGCATCTCATGGCATCTTATTTAAACTTTACATACCAGTAAAAATGAAAAATTGGCTCATTTGAAAGATATTCAGAGAATATATAGAATGTTATATATTTTGTGAATAATTTAGTCATATTTTTTGGACATTCTGAATAACTTTTAATTTTATTTACTATTTTATAATACTTTATAAAGATTCTAATAATTTCTGAATTATACTAGAAAATTTTAATAGCATTCTAGCATAATTCAAAAGTTATACAAATCTTATTTAATTTTTTATAAGGTATTATTTAAATAATATATTAAATTAAAAAATATTCAAAGTGTTCAAGAAATGCTTTTTATTTTAAACTTATAAAATATTTATTATATTTAATTTAAATATTCAGAATATTAAATAATTACTATTTAAAGAAATATTTTAAAAATAATATTTTTTGTATAATTTAATATACTTAAAGTTTATATAATCATAATTTTTAATAATTATAATAATTTATTTAATATTATAAAAATATTTATATATAAATTTTTTTTGTAAGTTTAAAATATTAAATAATTTTAATTTAAATATTTAAATTATAAAAATATAATATAAAGTACTATTTATTTATTTAAACTTGTTATATTTTCTTTTATATAATTTAGAATATTTAAAAATTAATTATTATATAAATATTTAAATATTTAATTATTTAATTATTTAATTATTATTAATTTATTAATTATATATATATTGATACAAAAAGATTTGTAACTTAGATAAATATTAATGAATTATTTTTTCAAAATAAAATTTTAATTCTGTCTTATTTAATTAAGTTATTAGATATTAGAATTTATTTAAATATA